GCTGGGACGGATGGGCGCTGGGACGGATGGGGGCTGGGACGGATGGGGTTTGGGACCGACGGGGCTGGGATGGACGGGGCTGGGATGGACGGGGCATGGGTCGGATGGGGGTTGGGATGGATGGGGCTGGGGTGGATGGGGGATGGGATGGATGGGGTTTGGGATGGATGGGGGCGGATCTGGGTCAGGCTTTGCTGTCAACTTGCGGAACTATTTGGAAACACAGGCAAACAGGAGACCTTTAGGCCCATCTTGATCCCTGTGGCTGTGTGGTTTGGGTGGGCTCCCCACGCCCACTGGGACATCTTGGGTCTCTGTAGCCTGTCCCCACCTGGCTGGGCCTCATGGGCCCTCCTGGGAGGCTGGCCCCTCCTCACCCCTGGCCAGGTCCTAGGGTGGCCCTGGCAGGCAGAGGGGCTTGGGGGTGAGCCACCCCCTCCCAACATCCACTCTTCAAGCACGGTGGGAGATGCTGGTCTCTGCCCCCGTCAGGTCAGAGGACAGGCTGGAAGGAGCCCTCCAGGTGCACGGCCAGAGCACAGAGCCGGGCTGTGTGGGAGAATTCCTCCCAGCGGAAGATGTCCTGGGTCCAAGGCTGGTGGGGACCCGGAGCAGTGAGGGGAGTGGTGTGAGAGGCTGAGGGTCACGCATCTTGGGCCTCTTTCAAAAGCGAGGGCCCGGAGGCCACGTCGGTTCCTGCAGCCCATCAGGCCATCCTGCAGGTGGGCCTTGGGGCTGGGAGTCCCTCACCGCACGGCTGCCCTGTCTGGGTTGTGGCTCAGGACGGGAGAGGTAGCTGCCGTTTGGTTTGGGTTTGGGAAGGAAGCTCTGAAGAGCGTTTGACTTGCTGTGGTCCTGTCTTGACAGTGGCTGGCAGGGAGGACAGCCTGGGGCCGCACCTCTGGCCAGCAGTCTGTGAGTTTGTGGAGGTGGCAGCTGGGCAGTGGGCAGAGACGGGGTGGCTCTCCCCAGTCCAGGTGTGGTCCTTGCCCTGACCCTCTGGTCCAGACCCCACGCTCCCTGGCGAGAGAGAGGCAGATGCAAACTGAAGGCTGGAACCATGGGCACAGGCGTTCACGGCCACCAGGGGACCACCTCTAATGCAAAAACGCTGCCGTCCCCATCCCCTCTCCAAAGCTGTGGATTCCATTTGGTTTGCTGTGAGGTCTTGGCCGCTAGAGCCTAGGCACATGAGCCACAGAAAGACCGGCTCCCGAAGCATCGCAGGGGCAGGAGCTGCCTCGCTTCCTGTGACCCGGCCAACACCCGCCCAGGGTTCCCTGACACGGTGCACCCAGGACATCCCCCCTTGTCTCCGGCCTCAGTTTCCCAATCCCTCGCTGCCATCCTGATTCTGTGTGGCCCTCAGCTGCAGGGCGACATCTGCTTGGCCTGTGGCCAGGTCCTCACACCAGGTTTCAGCACCCGTGGCAGGGGTGGGGCGCACAGTGGGGTTACTCAGGGCAGACACATTCACCATTGGCTCGAGGACCAACCCTTTCCCCAGAGCTGGGGTGGGAAGGCCTGTCCCACCCTCAGCCTTGTGGTCTGGCTCCTGGAGGCCACTGGCCTGATGCAGACAGCTGGTGAGCACGCCACTGTCCCCGGTACACCTGTGTGTCCCCAAAGAAGGACCCAGGGATGGGAGGGAAACAGAGGAGGCCTTCACCCACAAGGCAACCTGCTGTGTCTCCTCCACAGCCTGCCCCAGGGACCTGAGTCATCAGGGAAGCTGCCCATGGGTCCCGATGCCTGGGGTTCGGCACCCCACAAAGACCACCCATTCACCCACACAGACTTAGACCACACAACCTTAGAGGGCCTGACTCAGTTTACCCCCAGCACAGAGCCTATTTCCTGTCTCCTGGAGCCTCTGATCACCACGGCCAACTGCCCTGCCCACCAGTGCGGGGGAGGGATGAGGAGAGTCCCAGGACGCACCCCTCTGAAGGAGGCAGGTCCCCTTCGTGGCCTTGGGCGCGTCCGATGCCACCGCTGAGTGAATTCAGCACTGGAGAATGGCAGCCGGGGAGGGAGAAGAGGCTGCTGCTCTTCCGCCACTTAACAAAGAGCCCAAATCCCAGACCAGCCCTTGCTTCTGTGACACCCGGCAAAGCAGACCCCTGGGAGCTTGATGGGACTGTCACTGTGGTCTGGAGGTGGCGCCGGGACTGGGGCACTGTCCGGAGGACAGAATCGACCTATCTTGACTTTCAAAATGAGGTTTCTGTTGTCAGGCTTGGTTCCAGACGTCACCTGGCTGGTGGTGACCCAACAGGCTCCTTCCTTACGACGCTCAAGGAAAGAATCTTTACAACCCTGCAAGACCCAGCAGCAGACAAGCCACCCCTCCCCACGGGGCCACGGGTCAGGTTTCCTTGAAAATCTATTTGCTACACCTTGCAAACTCCCACAGTTTCTCTTTATTTGGCAAACATCTCTTCTTTATTATCATCATGAATATCATTTGGACCTCTGCAAAGACTATATACATTCACATTAACGTACACCCTTGGCTTCGGGCCTCTCTCGGGCCATTCGCGCCGGTTCAGTAGCTGGGTCGCTCCCATATTGCACTGAGTTCTGAGAGCCGCGCGCAGAGAGCCAGGCCGGGGCCGTGCCCGCTGTCTGTCCTTGTACTCGGTACAAGCGTGCATTTCCTTATCCCTTTATTTCCTCCTTGAAATCACTGAGGGAGTTGAGAGGAGGGGCAGGAGGGTGGGCAGGGCTGGCGCGTGGGAGGGAGAGAGTCCGACAGAAACGTCACCGAGACGCACCCCAGGGCTGAGGCGAACGCATCTGAGGGCGGCTGGCAGGGGCACCAGGGCTGTGTCACAGTCAGGGTCTTCCCTGGGAGGAGGCGGAGGGCTGCTTCTGTTTGTAGTTTTTTTGTTTTTTTTTTTCTGCAAAAGTTTGGAAGAAAGGGGAGTAGCTGCAGAGAGACATGGGTTGGGCGACGGGGCTGGGAGATGGCGGAGGCCGAGGAGGAAGGGCTGGCCGAGGAGAGGCGACCCCGGGGGCCCTGCTGTCTCCACACGCCGGAAGAGCAGTCAACAACCCAAAGACTGTCTCAGTTTTGTTTCGGAATTATGCCCTCTGGGAAGAAAATGTTAGCACTTTTTTTTCACAAGTGGAGAAAAGAAATATGAAAAGCCACAGGAGGCGTGAGGACACACGGCGTGTCCTTCCCAACACGCCTGAGACACAGGCCACGGCGCCCACACACGGATCGCACCCACGGCGGACGCACCAGTGCCCACGCGGAAGGAAACAGACGTCGCTTCTCACTGGGCGCAAACCTTCCACATCCTGATACCCCAACACCCCACAAACAAAACCAAAACAGAGAAAAGACCCACATCCAAACAAACCCAAGAGCAAGGAAAGCTGTGGGAGAAATACTTTGGCAGTGACAAACAGATTTTGGATTTTGATGTCTCCTGTTTGCGTTTTTGGATTCCTTTGGAGCAGAGGTGTGTCCGGTATCCTTGGCTGGCTAGCTAGCAAGGTAGTTCACAAGTATGCTTCCTTTGCTTTTATAAAAAACTTTTTGGATTTTTACTTAAAGCCAAAGAGTTTAACATTACAGGAAAAAAAAATCTGAAACCAATAATCCTTCTTGAGTCAGAAACTGAAATCTTTCCTTCCGTCTTCCGGGGTCTGCCTCAGGCCCCTGGGGGAGGGGACCGGCTGGCCACAGATCTCCGGCTGTAAAATCACAGTTTTCTTTCTCCCTTTTCGATCAGGAGAGGGAGAACCCCCACAGTTCGCTTTGTCCATTTCTGAGTAGCTCTTTTGCCAACAAATAAAACCCCCCAAAATTCTTTGCTGAAAATGTAAGCCACCAATAAGAATTTGTCATTGAAGAGAAAGTGTGTGATAGTCACAGAGGGGAGAGGAGAGAGGAGATGGTGGGGGGACGGAGAAAGAGACAGGCGGGCAGAGCCAACGCCCCTGTGGCATCGCTCTGCCATCTAAAGCTCAGTCGAGGCTTCTGAGGACGCTTGAGGAGAGAGGCCGCCAGGAGGTCTGTGCGCGGAATCATCAGGCAGCTGAGGCAGGGGCACTGGATGCGGTTCTGTTGGTTCCGTGTCTCCTTTTGGAGAGGGGCAGTAGCAGCACTGACTCTAATTGGTCGGCTCCCCGGGGCCGGGCAGGGCGCAGCGTCTGGCGGGCCGGGCATCAGGCATCCGGAGGGCCCAGAGCTGGGTGGGGTCGGCAGGGTACTGTGTCCAGCAGGTCGGGGGCCAGTCGGGTCAGCGGGGCACGGCGTCCAGCGGGCCAGGCAGGCTGGGGGAGCCGGGGCGAGAAGGCCCCGCAGAGCCGGCTTCGCTGGGGCTGGCAGCACCCACGGGCAGGGAGGGGCCCAGGCCGTTGGTGGTGTCGGGAGGTCCGGGCACTGGGTCGGCCACCACGGCCGCAGGGCCCTGCAGGCTCTGGCCGCACACATGGTGGTGCTTCTCCCAGTCCCGGTGCTGGCAGAAGGACCCGCAGTAGCGCGCCGCGTTGCAGCCGCTGCACGTCTCGCTGGCCTTCCGCCCACAGTTCCAGCAGCTCTGCGTGGGGGCAGAGGGGCCCGTCAGGGCTGGGTCAGGTCACACGAATCCCCAGCACAGGCCCCGACCAAGCCACTCAGAGCCAGCTGTGTCTCACTAGGTGAGAAGAGAGAAGCTCCGAAGCCCACGGCCCTCGGCCGCTCCCCGGACACAGCCACTCACCAGGCCATCTGGGGGACAGTGTCAACTCACGCTCCAGCCCACCCAGACAGGTGTGCGCTGTGCTGACTGGGCCACGGCCCCTGCCTCACCTCCAGGAAGCCCTCCTGAGCTCACCAGGAAACTGAAGGACACGGCCCTGGCCCCACAGAACTGAGGCTACTGAGACCTCACCGTCCACCTCTGCTGCACACCGCCAGCGCCCCAACCCCTGCTGCATGACCCCCTCCGACCTCTCCGCCACTGCGGCCCCCACCGCCGCCTGTCTCCCTCCTCACCTCTGCTGCACTCCTGCCTCTGCCCCCACCCACCATCTCTGCTGCACACCCCCCTCTGACACCCCCACCCCTGGTGTACCCCACCACTTCCACCCCCACCCTGTGGTGGGCTCTGCTCCCTTCCTGTAGGGTGAGCTGCGCCCCGAGCATGGCTGTGAGCACAGGGGTCAGGGATGCCACGCGAGGCCTGGGCATGTTTCTTCCCGGGGCCCAGCTGGAGCTCTCACACAGACAGTTGGGCTGTAGGACAGGAAGCCCAAACCTGCCCCAGGGGAGAAGCCCAGGTCCCTGTTTGGCCTCCAAAGCCTCTGCTACCACCTCCCACACCACCTCGCCCACGCTGCCACAGCCGCGCAGCCTCCCTGCAGACCCCGCACCTCCAGGCACGGTCCCCGCCCCTGGCCCTGGTCCCTGCCGGTCCCTCTGCTGGGCCTGCTGCCCTGATGCCCACACGGCCAGCTTCATCCTCTGCCCCGATGCCTGCGACGCCAGCTTCATTCATCCCAGCCTCTGCTCCGGGGTCACCGGCCATGAGGCCTCCACGTCCCGCTCCCCACACCCCCACTCCTGAAACTGCACGCCTCACTTCTGCATGTGCTGTTTCTTTCTCTCTGTGCCCACTCAAGTGCCAGCTCTGTGAGCATTTTGCCTGTTCTGTTCTAGCTTCTTCCCAGCTGAGAGCATGTGTGGAAAGGGCTGGTGCAGAGACGCCTGAATTGATGTGCTCCATCTCCTGCCACCGCAGGGCTGGCCCAGGCACAGACACACACAGGGGCTTTGGACAAAGAACGGCTGTCTCAAGGGATACTCTGGGGCTCCCCTGGAAAGGGTCCCTCGCTCTCCCTTCTTCCTGGACTAGGCAGAGAAGAGTCACAGAGGGTCCTCTGCTCCTGCCTCCCCCCCGGACGCATAGGCACAAGCAGGGTGACTCTCAGGCCTGCCTTGGGCACCGGGAGGAAGCTGCGTGCCTTGGAGGCCATGTGGGCCCTCACAGATCTCCCGGATCCTGCTGCTCTCACAGGGGTTTCAGGCCAGGCACGGTGGCCTTCACTTGTCATCCCAGCACTTTGGGAGGCCGAGGCAGGTGGGTCACCTGAGGTCAGGAGTTTGAGACCAGCCTGGCCAACATGACGAAATCTCATTTCTACCAAAAATACAAAAACTAGCCAGGCATAGGGGTGGGCGCCTATAGTTCCAGCTATTTGGGAGGCTGAGTCAGGAGAATCACTTGAACCCAGGAGGCGGAGGTTGTGAGCTGAGATCGCGCCACTGCACTCCAGCCTGGGCGACAGAGCGGGGCTCCGTCTCAGCTTCAGTCAACCTGGGCTTGCGTCCTGGCCCCACCCCTTCCCAAGGTCGTGACCTCAGACAAACCGGAACCCTCCTGAGCCCTCAGTTTCTGCATCTATAGAAGGGGGACACCCACAGGATGCCTCACCAGGCCATGTGGGGTCTCTGTGCTGATGAACACCGCAGGGGAAGGGATGGTGGGCGTGACGATGACACAGAGGCTCAGAATGCTCACGCGGGTGGCATGGGGGTGGCACGGGGCGCACGGGAGCCGAGGCAGGGGCGGGTGCCAACGTGGCCGGATGGCCCTACCTCGCTGGAGTCCTCCTGCTGGTTGACCACTGTCAGCGCGTCCTCAGAGGCCTGCCGCTTGGCCTCGGCCAGGGCCCGCTCCATCTTGGCGCGCTCCGTGGTGATGAGCTCGTGCGCTTTGCGCTCCGCGTCCGATACGGCTTTCTGCAGCTCTGACATCGCCTGGCGCTTCACCTCATTCACCGCCTCTTCTGCAAGGACACGGGCAGGGATGGTGGTCACACAGGCCATCCCAGATGGGTGTCTGGGGTTCCTACACCCACAACCTGGGGGCCGTGACCTGACATCACCGTGTGCAGCTGGACACACAGAGCATGTGGTGCACACAGGCACACGCTGATGGCTTTATGTCTGTACAGACACAAGTGCATGCAGACGAACGTGGGCATCCCAGGCACGCCTGTGCAAGCTGGGTCCCCTGGCCAGCACACGGAGGCTTTTCTAAGCTCATGCTCTACTGCAGCGGCTCCCCAGGTGCTGAGCCCCTGCAGGGCCGTGGCCAGGCCCACCCCAGAGTCTGGCGTAGCTGTGGGCGTGCCTGGGACCTGTATTCTTCACGAGAGCCGGGGGGGCGGCTGCGGCTGCACCAAGAGCCGCACCCAAAACACATGGACAAGTCTGCCTTCACCTCCGGCCCCACCCAGCAGCAGCAAGGAGGCCCCGAGTCCAGGGCTCTGTGCCGTCACCCCAGAGCCTGCTCTGCTTTCCTCACCACACCTGCCATCCTTTACCCTGGCTGGCTTCAGAAGACCACACTCCCTGACCTCGTTGTTTGATCCTGATCTAAGGCGGGGCGCACAGAGCAGCCCCACGGAGCACCGCCGCCCAGCTGGGGAGGCTGGGTTTCAATTCCACCACTGAAAGAGCCCCTCGGGCCAGCTGGAGACCCCGGTACCACTGCCCAGCCCTGCCCACGCCCAGTGTCCACTCTGGACTGTGCCCTCCAATGTCATGAATGACACCCCCTCCCTCTCCCAGGAATCTTGCTAAATGGCCCCCAAGGCCTCCCAGGCCTACCTCAGTTTACCCAGATTGCTGTTCCTACAGCAGGGTGACGGACTCGACTGGGAAGTGGCCACAGGGGCAGGAGTGGGACGGACAGGAGTGGGACTAGCAGGACCCCGCTGAAGGGGTCAAGACAGCTCCATGAGCCTCCCTGTCCCGGTGTTTGGACACGGGGCTGTGTGGAGCTGCTGGCAGGGCTGGCTGGGGCCCTCTGACCGGGCAGTGGCCAACAGACCCTGGCCTGAGATCACTGCCCAGAAGTCAGCAGATGCCCTACAAGGCTCCGCCATGGGGCTGGACGGAGTTGGGGCAGGCCGGGCAAGTGAGGACCCCTTCCTGCCATACAGGCTGGGGGTCCAGACCTGTCCTCACCCACCAGCCTTGCTCCTGGCAGCCCTGGAGTCTGCAACCTTACCCCCAACTCCAGGCTGGGACCCTCCACTCCCTCCATGCCAAGATTCTCCTCCCCCATCCTCAACCCACACAATGAGCCCAGCTGAATGCCAAAACCCACCTGTGCCCCACCTCCTCTCTCCACTACCGGCCTCCTCTGGCTGTCCACAGATCTGGCTCTGCCCCAGCCCCTCCCCCCACAGCGCTGCCCAGCGCTCAGCTCCACGTCTGCCTGTGCCCTGCCCCCCTTCTGCGTGGACTCGGGCCCCAGGCTCCGGGTGTGTCTGCTTCTGCATGCCCCCCACTGTATTCTGCTGGGCGGCTGCCCGTCCGTTTCCTGGTAGCTGCAGGTAGCAGCCGTCCCGCTCTGACTGTGAATCTACTCTGACCCCTCAGCGAGCCACAGAGCGGAAGGCATAAAACCCTGTTAGTCCAAGCCCCCAGATGGAGACAGGAGCGCCTCACAGCCGTGCTGGGGGTGTCTGGGGCCCTGGCCTCCCCCAACGCTGCTTCCCCAGGCCGTTCCTACTCACCCGCCTTCCTCCAGATGTCCTCAGGCATGTAACCGGTGAGGGTCCTCGGCAGGAACTCCCGGGGGATGTCTGAAACGGGCCAGCGTCACACAGGATGGGCCACGTAGCTGCCCTCCACGATGGGGTCCTGCCCACCCCAGCTGGGCCTGAGTGCAGGGCGAGTGTGTGTGCCTCTCTGGGGGAGGGCCCAGGGCAGTGCTTGGGTGTGGGGGCGTGAGAACTGTGGCCGCTGGACTCGGCTGGGAGCCGTGTGCGTTCTAGGCCTCTCCTGGTTTCTGCATCATCAAGTCGGAGGAGCAAAGACCCTCAGGGCCTCCCCACTCTGATCCTCTGGCCCACTGGATGCCCTGAGCTCCAGGCCTCCCAGGAGACCGAGCGGTGTGTTTGTACGAAGTGAAAAACGTGCCTCTTTCTCACGTGAACCTGTTTTGTTGCCTGTGGTCTGACTGCACTGCCTGCCTGGCACAGCTCTTCCAGGTGTCAGCCCTGCCAGAGGCGCCCCCCACACACCTGGCTGAGCCCCTTCGGGGCCGGCAGAGCTGCTGCGGGGCCGGGCGCTGGCGGGAGTGGGGCCCTTCTTCACGCCCTCTGCATCGCTGTAGCGCCGCGCCCAGTGGTTGAGCTCCTCTCGGTCCGCCTCCTGACACCGGCGTAGCACTGTGAGCGAGCGCCGCGTCTTCTCCACCATGTCCATGATGCAGTTCAGGAGCTGGGGCGAGCGAGCGGGCAGCCTTCAGCACCTCGGGGAGCCAGGGTGCACCAGACACTCCCTGTGCTGCCCGCCGGGCTAGGCCACAGACAGGAGGGGTGCCCAGCCAGCCCACTATCCATGAGGGCGAGGGGGTGAAGCTCGCCTCCGCTGCTTGGGAAGACGGTCCCTGGCCTGGGACTGCCCAGCGCCTGTGCGTACCACACTCACACGGGACACGTGCTCAGATGCACGCAGGAGTTTGGGATTCTCCTTTTTAACCCCCTGAGGTGGGCTCTGCCTCAGAGACCTGGCTTTCTGTTTGGGCCCCCCTTCTGTTCCGGCGACCCCTCCAGGGACAGGCTGCAGGATGGGGTGGGTGGGTTCTGAGGAACCAGTTCAGGGGCCATCCCTGCACGTGTCCTGCCTCGAGGCCCCAGAACTGCTTTTCCCCAAACTTCTTTCGAGATTCAGGATACACTCTGGGAAGAGCCAGTGAGCAGACAGCAGGTAGACAAAAGGCGAGGCTACCATTTTGGTCATGCAGTTTCATGAATCTTTCTCCGTTTCTCACGATGCCCTGCACCGGCCTGGGCCAACAGGGGGGCAGCCGTGGTGGGGGAGCTCAGGTAACGACGTGCAGGCCACACAGGCAGGCACTGAGCCCAGGGGCACCCGCTGGTGTAGCTGTGCAGGCAAGGCTGTGTGTGGGTGTGCCTTTGTGTGCGTGTGGCTGTGTGCAGGAGTATGGCTCTGTGCGTGTCTGTGTGTACATGAATGTGGCTGTGTTCCTGGGTGTGGCTGTGCATGGGCGTGGCTGTGTGCCTGAGTGTGGTTGTGTGCCTGAGTGTCACTGTGTACATGAGTGTGGTTGTGTGTGTGGGTGCAGCTGTGTGCGTGGGTATGGCTGTGTACGTGAGTGTGGCTGTGTGCGTGAGTGTGGCTGTGTGGGTGGGTGTGGCTGTGTGCATGAGTGTGACTGCATTAGTGTGACTGCATGTGACTGTGCGTGAGTGTGGCTGTGTGCGTGGGTGTGGCTGTGTGCGTGAGTGTGGCTGTGCGCGTGGGTATGGCCGTGCGCGTGGGTATGGCCGTGTGCGTGAGTGTGGCCGTGTGCGTGGGTGTGGCCGTGTGCGTGGGTGTGGCTGTGTGCGTGAGTGTGGCTGTGTGCGTGAGTGTAGCTGTGTGAGTGTGGCTGTGTGCGTGAGTGTGGCTGTGTGAGTGGGGCTGTGTGGGTGGGTGCGGCTGTGTG